ATTGTGCTATAATCTAGAGGAAGAATTGAAGGGGAGAAAACCTTCTGCCAGGGAAAAGGAGTGGGGAATGAGAGGTGCTTCGTGGTGGACACGCTGTTGAGCTGGACCCCGAAGGCTGGGAAGGGTTTTAACAGGACAATTTGCAGGGAGAAGGCGTGGCATGACAAGCAGGGAGAGGCTAGAAGGCTCGGCTGAACGTTAATAGCACAACACCAAGCCCCTTATCAGCAGGAACTTTCCCTGGTTTCCCAGGGAACACAAATAATCAAGAGGCTGATCTGTTTTTCAGATTTTTGAGACTTTATGGGAGCTGCCATCACCATGGCAGCAGGTGATGCTGCTGTGAACATCAACTAAGGTTTTGATGAATGAGCACCCCATATTCTTTGCATTAGACTTCAGCCTAAAATTACATAATAAAACTCATATTTTATCATAAGGGTAATCAAAAGTGGCATCTTGAAAGATAGGAGGTGGAAGCCTGCTTTCGTCACCTTGACCATGATCTGGAAATGTTTGCCCTTTGAGCTCTCATTAGATTTCATCCTCTGCGGGTGGGCGTTTGGTGTTTTCTGACGGACGGTACCTTTCTAGGGTATGCAGAAATCCCTCTAGGTAGATTTAGCTGCTCATCTCACCCCAGGCCAAAGGCTCTCACTTAGATCTTTGTATGTTCTTTCTGTTTCCTGCAACGCCAAGATCACGTCTATCCTAAGCATCCCAGCTCAGACCACCTAATAGTACCCCGATTTTTTTTTTTTTAAAGATTTTATTTTTTCCTTTTTCTCCCCAAAGCCCCCCAGTACATAGTTGTATATTCTTCGTTGTGGGTCCTTCTAGTTGTGGCATGTGGGACGCCGCCTCAGCGTGGTTTGATGAGCAGTGCCATGTCCGCGCCCAGGATTTGAACCAACGAAACACTGGGCCGCCTGCTGCGGAGTGCGCGAACTTAACCACTCGGCCACGGGGCCAGCCCCTAGTACCCCGATTTTTACTGGACATGACACAATTCTCTAAGACAAAAAGGAAGGCAGACTGCAGAGACAAATGGAATTTCTTTCTGGAGGGAGAATTAATGGTGAAGAGCTGCCAAATTTAGACATCGGCCCCTTAAGCTGACTACCCAGAATAGCTCGCTCCAATGGCATTTCTGCTGTACCTTTTAAAAGCTCCCCTCCCCCAATGTGGTTGGAATAGGGAGTAGGTCAGATCGACTGAAATAGAGGGTATGTGTAGATGAATCAGGGGAGATCAGAAAGAAAAAACAATTTGTGTAAAGTTCTGGAGAGCCTTAAATATCAGCATCAGAAGTTTCAGTTTTATTTGGTATGTAACTGGGTGTTACCGAAAGTTTTTGACAGAGAAAATTATTTTTATCAAAGGGATGTATTACTAGGTGGATTGATCTGGAGGCTAATTAACCAGGTATCTTGGAGTTAAGAGGTAGGGGTGAGGAGAAGTCTTAGGAAAGCAATGTCACGACCAGATGAGAGAGAGCAGTCTACAGAGGGCTGACAGCAGTGAGAAAAGAGAGGAAAGATCCAATGAGGATAACTTTCAAAGAAATTATAATCCTCTTCATTTCTTCTAGTCTACCAACATATTTTAGCCTATAAGTATGATTTCTTTTTACACATGAATAACTCCCATTTATTTTAGCACTTCCTATGTATAAGATGATTTACCTGTATTTTATAATCACCATAAACAACCCATTGAGGTAAGCCATTATTGTTCCCATATTCTTGATGAGAAAACTGAGACTGAGTTAAGCAATACACCAAATATTACATGGCAAGTAAATGGCAGAGCCAGGATTTGAACCTGAGTGTCTAACATCAAAATATACATGTTTTTCTTGTTGTAGAAAGTTGGCTTTCTGTGAACAAAGTACAGTGCAGCTTTTCCTAAAAATATTATTTTTGTGTAAGGACTTGAAAATATTCTTTGCTTGAAGCATATGGAGTAAAAAACTTGACTAAGTGTAGCCAGAGGAGTTTCATTTTTCTGATAGTCAGGCCCATTTTCCAATTATGGATTGCATTAGCCAGGTTTTAAGACCAGACAGTATTTTGCACAAATGGAATTTCAAAGGCTGTATCTTCTTTAAGACAAGCTCAATTTCTGGGGTAAATCTTTATGTAGTTGGCTAAAATCAAGTGAATGCTTAAATGATTTTATCCCTACTGATTCCTTTACAAATAAGGTTTCTAAAATGATATGTCTGCTTAGATCAAGATGTTGATGCTAAAATAGAGTCAATTCCACTGGGACAGTACACCTTCAAGTGACTATCTGCAGGATTGCTCATGGCCAGCACTAAAATCCATTTTACAGTATTTTCTAGCTGTTAAAAGGCATGCTTTTGATTATAAGCATTATTTCAGTACGAAAGCTGACTGAAGATGGTCGTGTCTTTCCATCAGCCAAATGATTATTTTTCTTATTAAGCTTAAAGGGAAAAAAAATCAATACAGGGAACCCATTGGAAAATTCTGTTTAAATGTTTTCAGGAGACAGGGATCAGAGAGGCTGTAAATATGGTCTCCATATTAATTAGAATGCCAGGGGTCCTGAGTCCTTTATGGAAATACAATCCCATATTTCCTTCTTTTTTTCTTTCCTTTTTGTTTGGGAGCTTATAATAATGGGAATGCATTGTCAATTTTGAATGGCAATGGGTATAACTGGCCCACATTCCCTAAGGCTTTTTTTATGGCCCCTAGAGGCCCTCTTCCCATAGATGTGACCCTGAGTTTCCATGTTGACACGGGAGAAAACAAAGACCATTTGGCCAGAAGTATCTCTGTATGTTTTCCTGGCATGTGATGAGCAATGTGTTTGGGCATCAGGCAATTTCCTGTCTCTACCTGACTCCTAAATGTAATGAAATCCCTAAATCTCCTCCCAATTTGCATTTCACTCAGTCCTTCTCACATTACCGTATAGGACAGATGGAGACTTTTTCTGATGCTTTCTGGTCCAGGGGCCATGACGAAACCCAGCACCACATTTCACACATTGAAAATTCTAAATTGTCTAGATTTTACAGATCCCTTCGGGGAACTGTATATTTTTCACTTTTCTCAGCCATTTCTTCAGTCGCCAGGTGTTATGACTAATCCTGAGTAAAGAAGCTCCCGGATCATAACAGTGCCATTCTAACCCAATTAGCCAAGAAAACAAAACAAAGAAACAACAGCCACAACAAAGAAGAAAAATGCAATTGCGCACCTCACATATATGTTTCCTCTAGTGTATTTATTTAGCATATTTTTATTGAGAGCTTGATGGGACTGTTGAAACTGAGAGTTTCAGGAACTGTTTTAGGCACTTGGGATGCAGCACTGGTGCAGGTCCCTGCCTTCATGAGCTGCCATTCTAACAGGGGGTCAAGGGTGGGCGATTTGAGAACAGCTAAGTCACAAATGTTACGGTTAAAACAAAAAGCAACGGGAATCAAGGGAGATCCGGAGCGTGAGGAGAATTGCAATTGTAAACAGGTGGTCAGGGTAGGTCTCATCCAGAAGGTGAGAATCTAGCAGATTCCAAGTAGTAAGGGAGGAAGCCTTGTGAATATTGGAGACAGGAGTGTTCCAGCAGAAGGGAAAGTCAGTTCTAAGGGTCCAAAGCAGAAACAGGCCTAGTGCGTTCGAAGAACACCGTGCAGGCTAGGGTGGCTGTAGCAGGGTGAGCAAAGGGGAAATGGTAGAAAGTGAGGTGGGAGAGACACACAGGACTATGGTAAGTGCGGCCCCGTAGGGCACCGTAAGGGCTTCATTCAGCTGTTACCCTAAGTGAAATGGGATCTACTGCAGGGTTCTGGGTATAAGAGTAATCAGATCTGCTTCATGATTTACAATGATTGCTGTGGTTGCTGATTTGAGAAGTGACTTGAAACAAGAGTGCCCTTGGTAGGCTATTGTAATAATGCGGGTGAGACATGATGATGGCTCTCGGGAGGTGGCTGCCTGTGGGAGTGGGAAGAAGTGGTTGGATTCCGGATTCCTTTTGAGAGTGGAGCAAGAAGGAATTACTAACAGATTGGATAGGAATTGTGAGAGAAAAAGTAGAGTCAAGGATGACAAACATTTTGCGTTTCACTTTTTCATTGTAAGGACACTCATTTCATAATGTTATTATGACAAATAAACACTTGATAAAAAGCAAATTTACATTTTTTTATAGACGTACTGTCTTTTGATTTCTAAGTCACATCATAACATTTTTCAAGCAGTTAGAGTATAAGAGAAGTTTTAACTAACTGGAACTCTCACAGTGGCAATCGTTTTTACATTCGACTGTAACTGGAGAGGCAAATAGAAAATAACCTGAGATCAGAGAATTAGTTACCATAAAGCAGGTTTCAGGAGAGGAGCTGGGGTTGTTTTTATACCTAAGAAGTACTACAATGATAATTGACATTCATAGTGGTGACTACAAGTACATGTTCACTCAAAAGGGCTATATAGAATAAGCCAGTACCTGGAAGGGGTTTATACTCAAACTTAAGACTATTAGAAATTTAATAAAGCGGAACACACTCTGACCAAGACATTCTAGTTATTGAGGTCTTTGGTTCTTGTGTGCAGTTTTTATTCAACGAAATTTATTCATTACTAGGGGTTCGCAAAAGGCAATGAAGCTTGGTCACAAGTCTTTTCTTACCATCCTAGTGCTTGCAGATATTTTCAGGTAATTCATCTTGAGAATTTCCTCAAAGAAAGAAGCAACAAAAATTTGGCGTTTAGTTATTTTATTATTAGTAATCATTTTTTTATACACCAAATGAAGCAATTCTGACTTTCTAAGGACTCACTTTTAACATTCTGTCCAAAGAGAACTGTTGGCAATGATAGATGCTTATAATCAGTTTTCTCTTCTTGGAATTAAATTTTATTTTTCTACATGTAACAAATTTACAGGTAATGAGCTGCATAGATATGCTCCAAGGACAGGTGTTAATTTGGTAAATTCTTGATAATTTTTTGTTGTTGCAGGCAAGGCGTCCCCAAATTTTATGAGGTCCCATACTCTACACAGAGCAAGTCAAACAGGTAACAGGGTAACTACTAAGCCTCCACTTCTCTTGATGATATGATGTTTCATGTTACCTCTGGCATCTTGGACAAGCCACTGATGGCCTTGATGTTACCGATAAAAGGAACCAGGAAGATCACACTTGCCTAAAAGCAGGAGCTTAGTTTATCCCCAGTGGATTCCTTGATTGTATGTCTTGAGGATTTTCTTCAGAGTTGACTGCTGTGACTGACACTTTCTTTTTCCATGAAACAGCACAATAAATTGATGAGTCTGGCGATGATAAATAGAAGTGTCCCATCTGCTGTTGTCTACCATTTTTATTTTACATTCCATCGTCAACAAAATGCTGTAACAGCAGTGCCAACTGGAAAGAGTGACTCTTGAAAAATTTTCCTTCTTTGCATTTCCACTCAATAATGCATTTTAAATCTGTATCCTTTACTTGCTTTTCTTGGGCTCATCAAGTTTAGGCATAAGCTTTTTATCAACTCTGATTTGGGTTACTGTTGACTTGAAATACATCAGAAGGAGGATCACTGAGCCATGGCTATACCGATGGTTGGATGTCAGGAGCAGATGACCTCTGCGGTTGACCATGGAAAGCAAAACTGCAGGTAAGGGGGACGGCTGTACTATGACACATCCCTTCTGCCTCACATCCTCCTTTGTCTCAGTCACCAGAAGCAATAGTCTTCTCAGCTAATCCACATTGTGTAGACCCTTATCCCCATCCTATCATGTTCATGGTCTAGTCCAATAGCCCCAAACGATTTTCCATGATCACTTCCCTAAGGAGTCTTTGTAGATGTTTTTCGTAACTGCCCTCCTCATCTCCCCCACTCATGAAATTTTAATGCCACAGATATACTAAATATCTGTTAGTGTACTATCTGTATGTGGTATATATGTGCTTTAGACATAAAGAAAGTAAGAGTTTTTTCACCTTCCAGGAACCAATTTTTGTCTCCTTGGGAACAATATCACCTCTGTTGAAAATGTATCATCTAGTCTGACTCTATCTTCCCTCTCCTCCAGCTTCCCAAACCTTTTCTCTGTATGAATATTTTACTCTTCTAAATCCATTCTATGCATGCTTGGCAATTGGATTGTTTCAACTTTGGGTTATGAAAAAGATGTTTCTATGTGCATTTGTATATATGTATCCTGGTACTGATGTATGAGTTTCTCTCCAGTATATACACTATGTAGATATAGGCATGAGTGTAATTGCAGGGTCGTGGGGTGTTTGTATGCTAGATTCTTCTAGATAATGTCAAACTCTTTTTCAAAGTGCTTGCACCAATTTATATTCTCATTGGGGGTCTATGAGTTTCTTTTGTTCTACATTGTTACCACTATTTGGGTTGTCTCTATCTTTAATATTATGTGAGTAATGGTATCTTATTCTTAAATTTGAATTTTTTGATTAATAATTGGTGAAGCATCTTTTAAATAAATTTATTGGTCGTTAATGTCTCCTTTTTGTGTGTGTATAAAATGCCTATTCTAGCGTTTTGCTCATTTTTAAATTGAGTTGTCTATTAATTTTAGGAATTCTTCATGTATTCTAACTGCAAATTCTTTGGCTATATGTGCTACAAATATTCTCAAGTTGTCTGTCTCCCTTGAATTTTTACTCCTTTTGGGTCTTTGGGTAGCCAGAAGTTGTTAATTTTAATGTAAGTAAATTTATCTTTTCTTTTACAGTTAGTACTCTTTAAGTCTTATTTAATATACCATTCCCTATCCAAAGGACGGGAATATATTTTCTTATAGAAAATGTCTTGTAAAAGTCTTCTGAAAAGTGATTTAGTTCAGTTTTTCACATTTACTGAAAACATGATTCTTTTCCAAACAATCTTCAGAGCCATCCTTACCATATTACAAGAGTCCAAATAAGTGTGGGTCTGTTTTTCAGCAATCTACTGTGCTCCCCTGGCCTATTGACTATCACCATACTTTTTATAACAGTGATTACTGTGACTTAATTACTGTAGGTTTTTATAACAGGCCTTGACGTTTTGAAGAACAAGACTTCTTAAATTGTTTGACTTCTTAAAAAGTGTGTTGGTTAGTCTTGGCCCTTTTTACTTCCATATCAATTTTAGAGTCAGTTTGTTTGGTTCCACAAAACACTTACTGGAATTTGATGAAGATTCTCTTGACTTTCTAAATCAATTGGAGAGAACTGAAACCTTTACAGTAGTAAATCTTCCAAACCATGAATATGGTATGTTCTTCTTTTGTTGATTTTTTTCTGTAATGCCTCTCAGTAAAGTTTTCTGATTTGCTTTGAAAAAATCTTACACATCTTTGTTAGGATTGCTTTTCGGTATTCAATATTTTCTGTTACTGTAAATGGAATATTAAAGCATTTAAAAAATTCAATTTTTAACTGTTACATATAGAAATACAATTGATTTTTGTTTGTAGATTTATATTTTCCCACATTGATAAATTCTCTTATTCATTTATCTGTAGATATTTTTGGATATTCCAAGGACATAATTATATTACATACAAATAACAATTGTGCTACTTACTTTCTCATTTTCGTATATTTTAATTTTTTTCTTGCTTAACTTTGCTGACTGGGATTTCTAGAACAATGCTGAATGTTATTCCTAATCTTATAAGGAAATATTTGAGTTACACAAGTTTTTATGATTTTTTTTTCTCTCCAAAATAAGGAGTTGAGCTGTTTGTGTTTGATTGTGACAATCGCTACTGTCAATCCACTGCTGGCCATGTGGTTTCCTTGCAACCTTAGTTCTTTGAGATATTCAAGAAAATTTATAGTTTTGTAGTTTATTCAGATTTCTCTCATTGTTAGGCTAGGGGCAACACTATTATTTTAAATTAATTTTATTGAGGCATATTTTGCATATCATAGAATTTATGCCTGAGATGATTCCTCAGGCACATTTACTGTTAATCCCCACCTCCCCAGCTCCACATCCTAGAAACTACTAATTTGTTTTCTGTTTTTGCAGTTTAGCTAACAGTGCCTTTCCAGTTTTCTGCATCGTTGGCAGAGGTGGCGCCTCTCAGTTGGTTTAGGTTGTTTATTTGCCTACTTCCATATAAACTGAAGTTTTTAGTTGCACTGTTGACATGTCCTTACTTTCTGTGTCTATGATTTATTATGTTGCTTAAATGTTCTAAGTACTTAGGACTATTTTATGTGTGTGCTTTCTTATTTTCTCAGAGAGGTGTTTAAAAATTTCTATTTATTTCAGAGCTGTTTTAAATCATTTCCCATCATGATTGTTGTTTGCCAATTTCTTCTTGTGCTTTTATCTATTTTGTCACTATTTTGAAGCTGTGCTATTAGAATGCATACGGGTCTAGTATTGTTAAGTATCCACAGTGAGATTCTTTTTATCATTAGGTCATAACTCTCTTTTATCTTAATGATACTTTTTGATCTTTAAGTGGGTATTTTGTCTTGTCTTAATATTCCATCCTTTTAAATGTCAAATGTTCTGTCTTTATATTTTAGGTATATCTATTGTAAACAACACATTTAACTTTTATTTTTTAAATTCAATAAGGAAATCTCTATCTTTTAATAGGAGAATCAATTCATTTTAATTCATCATGATTGCTTTACTTGCATTTTTTTTAGCAATATCTTTGCTTTGCTTTTTGTCACCTTTTTTTGTCTTCCATTGGATTGAGTTTTTTACTTTATTTTTTATTTTGGAATTATCATAGATTCACAGAAAGTTGTGAAAATAATACAGAGAGGTCCCATGTACCCATAACCCAGTTTTCTCTAATGTTTATGTCTTACATCCTTGTAGAACAATATCAAAACCAGGAAACTGACATGTACAATGATGTGTGGATCTTTATGCCATTTCATCACATGTGTAGATTGTATAACCACCACCACAATTAAGAGTCAGAATGGCTCTATTACCACAAAGGTCTCTCTGGTGCTGCCACTTTATAGCCACACCCATCCATCTCACATCATCTCTAACCCCTGGCAGCGCAAATCTGCTCTCCATCTCTATAATTTTGTCATTCTGATAATGTTATATAAATGGATCATGCAGTATGTGATTTTTGAGATTGGATTTTTTTCCACTCAACATACTGCCCTTGAGATTCACCCAGGTTGTCGCTTGTACCAATAGTTTGTTCCTTTTATTTCTGACTAGTATTCCATGGTATGGATATACCACAGTTTGTTTAACTATTGGGCAGGGGGTGAAAGTTCAGGTTCCTCATTAGATGTCTAATGATACCACCCTGCCTGGTGGTATCACCATATTGTTACAGTTACTGACATCATGGGGAGCTGGGGATGGGCAGGGGTGGTGATGAACATCTGGGCTTCCCACTCAGCCTCCCCTAACATGACCAGGGTGGGGCTGGGACGAGGAAGGACACCTCATTAGCAAAGGATGGAGGCAGAAGTCCAGGCTTTCCATGTGGCACACACTAGCACTGTGTGTGTGTGTGTGTGTGTGTGTATGTGCACATACACCACCCTTGCTGGCCTGGGATGCGAGTCCTGACTCCCTCCTGTCTTTCTCTGATACCACCCTGCCGGGAGAGGAGCATGGTCATTATATATGGGCAAGGGTAGAAGTCCAGGCTTCCAACTGGGACTTTGCTGACAGAGAGGGTGTGGGGCCACATTTTTTTCCCTATAGTGTTCAGGTCTAATGGGGAGGTTATTGTTTAAAAGTTTTCTGTTTTGCTAGATTGCCCCATCCCTGCTCCTTTGGCTAGGGAGTATAGACTTTTCTTAGAGCTTTTAGGTCTGCCCATTGGTTTCTGTTGGCGTTTTGGTTGGAGGCTTCTGGTTGTTTGAGCTTTATTTAGTCTCCTTTCTCTTCTACTGATTAGAAGGAGTTTATTTCCCTCCTTGTATTTCAGTAGTTACCCTCAAATACCTGACTAATTCTAAAATATATCAATACTTCTTTCGACATGAGTAATCCACAACCAATCTATAAATGAAAATTGGGGTGAGTTTATTCTGAGCTAAATGTGAGGACCATATAGCCCAGGGCCTTCCTTCCCCAAGGAAGGAAGGGCACCAAAGAAGTGGGGTGTACAGAGTACTTATATACCCTCAAAGAGCATGTTTCACATATGACTAAAATGTCCCTTTTACAATAGTCATGAGACTGCTCTGTCGCACAGTGATTGATGGACACAGCAGGTAGTACGTCTGCTGTCTCGCTAGACACAGCAGGGTGGCGGTTCTGTTGTTTCAAGCTGGGTGGTCACAGGTGAGCACAGCAATCAGTTCCTAGCCTAGGGAGAGATGCTTATCCTTAAGGAAATGCCCACGTGGGGGAAGTTGCACCTTTATCTTAAGGCCATTGGTTCTTGTCTGTGGGACATAACAAATGCTTAAGCAGATATACAATGCATGCTCAATGACCATGTCAGGCCCCTTTGGAAAAATGAAGTCAGGCCAAATTAGGTTTATACCAAATGGCTTCCTCGTATACTCCAATATATCCTATTGCTTGCCATTTATTTGTCACTTCTATATCCTACCAGAGGTCATAGAATGTTTCAACTTTAGTAACCTGGATCCAATTTCTTGCACATTGTCATTGTCATGTGTTTTAGCTCCATCTCATTT